ATTTTGCTATGGTGGCCTGAGCAGACTAAAACAATTACGGAACTTCTTAGCAGGAAGGGACAGTGAATAATGCTCGGTTGAAACCTCATGTTTTGCTCATTTATTTACTCATTTATAAATACCAAATGCTTTTTATGGCAAGCCTTGAGAATACAATGAGGCGTGAAATGGGAATCGTCTCTGATCTTATAGAAATTCCTTTCTTGGAGGGGACACACGCCGAAGAGATAACTTGAAGGAGTTTAGAATTTCCGTGGTGAATAGGACCATGGGGAGGGCATTGTGGGCTTTGATCGCATGTCTGACAGTGGGCCCTCATTTTGTCTGGGAGGTCGGCAAAGGTTTCTCTGAGAAAGTGTTATTTAACCTGCGTCTTGAAGGACAAGAAGAGCTTACCTGATGAGCACGTGGGGTGGGAGGAACCATTCTAGAAAATGGGAACAGGACATGGATCTAAAACAGTGGCTGAGCCTGGGGGGTGGCGGGCTGGGAGAAAACAGATCCTGTAGCCACAAGCCCCGGGTTGCCCCTGCTCCCACAGGCTGCGCTTCTCCCAGCCGTGTGTCCCTTGTGTGCTTGCTCTGGAGCGGGGCGTTTACACACATGATGAGGTGGGGAAGCAGGGGGGCCCCTTGGTGGCGTGCGGGGCGCTTGTGGAAGAGAAGGAAGCCGGAAGAGGAAGTGAGGGAAGGAGGAATGAGGACATGCCCTGCTGGCTCGGGTCAGGAAGGAGGGGAGGGGCCAGCCGAGATGTTGAGATGGATCGTCAGTTTGGCACTGTGACCCTTTCTTCCAAGCTCATTGCAGAAAGGGTTAATGGCAACTTAGGTACATATCCTTGTTTTTGCTTTTTTGATGCGCATGCTAGGATCATAAAACCTCCTGTTTTTCTAGTCCCCTTTAAGTCTAGCTTTGTCTGCTACTTTTTCCTGCATGCTTCCTGTCTATGCCCCATGTTGGGGGTGGGGGCTGGGATTACAAAGACGGGAAGAGATGCTCCCTGCCCATAGGGAGTCTGGGGCCGTAGGGTGAGGAGTGGTGGTGTCGGGATGAGCAACACCAGCAGGGTGTCAGCCAGGAGAGCCTTCCCAGAGATGGGGCACTATGTGGGCGATGACCAAAGCAAGGAGTTGAACCTTTCTTGGCTCATAAATCCTTGTAATCTTCTGACAGTGGGTTGAGATCTCTGGGAAGATCCAGGTCAGGCTTTCTGAGGAGGACCCTGGGATGGGTGGCTGGCTGGCTGGCTGGCTATTCACACCACAGTCCTAGTGAAAGGGCCCCTGAGAACCGGAGAGGAGAGAAGCAGGTGTAATCGAGGGGTCCTGCTACCTCCCTCCCATTCCTAGTTGACAGTTCCAGTGTCTCCAGGTTCTCTTTGAGGTTAACTGGTACAGAGGCTCTTCTCCATGGTGAATCTTCATTATTCAAAGAAGCTCTCGGGTTTCTGAATTAGATGTGGAGCCTTTATTTCTGATGCCTTGAGGTCTCATGAGCGACATTCATCCCTACATAAGGTGGTCCCTGGGTAAGAGGAATTTTTAAAAATTTTTTTTAAAAAGGAGATTTGACTAGTGCTGGCCACCCAACATCTGCGGTCAGTGAGAAGGATCCCCGCTCCTGGTCCGGTGAGGGCACAGGCCTGTGGTCCTGCCTGGTAAGTGTTGGGAGACTGAGATGCAGGAATTACCTCATTTCTCTGTTTTGCCTGGGACTGTGAGGTTTTATGAAGCAGCCCTGCCCTCAGGATACCTTCTTTTGTGTCCAGTCCTGGAGGCTTCCTGCTTGCCTCTTCCTGAGTCATACCCCCTTCCTGTGCGCTCTCCTCCATCTGAGGCACAGACCCCGTATCTTCTCTATGCAGCACCTCACTGGGTCTCTCCCACTGGCTGTGCATTCCCACCTTGCCCAGGTAGGAACCTGACCTTCCTGGTGACTTCCTTTGCAAATGATGAACTCAACATTCCTTCCTCAAATGAACAGTTCTTTTGTAAATAATTACCTCTCCAGCCGGTGATGGTTGTTTTGCAAATTTTTTTTTTTTTTAACACTACATTTGCTTACTGTGGAGGTATATTTGTTTTGCAGGAGTCCTTTTTAATGGCAGGATTTGGGGGCAAGAACGACACTGGCTTCTAGACTAACCGGTCTCTCTAGGCTGTCGTGGTTCAATTGGCATCACAGTAGAGGCTCCATAATAAAGAATCCCATTAAAGCAAGGTTATATTTCCTACAATCAATTCCATCAGGTAATGCACTAAGGATTTTTGGAAATAGAAACCCAATTTTTTAAAAGGAGAGACACAGAGGACGACAAGAGAACGAGACATAAAAGAACCCTAAACAATTTAGTTATACAAATGGTCCTTGTATTATTGTGGCAATATTACTTACAAATAAAAGCCAAAGAGGAAAAACAAGCTGTGTTTGCTAGATGTACTCTCTGTTCCCTGCCTTGTTTTTCTGCTCTAAAGCATAGGACTGTGTTGACGTAGGAATGTAACTGCTATGAATATTGATGGCAGCAAAAGCCTTTTTTCTCTGTCTGGCCTAGTAAATAAAGCAGAAGGGATAAAAAGGGAAAAGGAATTATAAAATCAGCATGCTGTTTTTAGCTTATCTCGTTCCCCTAGAACTCCAAGTCTTAGAAGCATATTGACAACGTACATTTGGTGGTCAGGGTCCAATTTGAGTATAGTGGGTTGGTGTTTTCAGGGATTTTTGCTTCTGGTTCAAGTAACAGAGTTGTTCTCTCCTTTAAGCCCTCCAAGTTAGCGTCACCTCCTCAGTGAAGCCTTCCAGGATCCCTCCTCCTTAGCCAGAGGCAAAGTTCAAGTCATAGTCCTGGCTCCCAGGGAATATGGAGAGTAAATGAGGGAGTCCCAGGAGGTCTGCAGGCTCATGCATACCCAGAGGGCATGGCTGTGGGAAGGAGAAGGGGGACGCATTCAAGGAAAGTCTTGGCAGCTCCGTGAAGGGGGGTGCAGCACCTGGGAGGAGCCAGGCTGAGGGCAGGGCCAGTTGGGAGGTCCGGGGAAAGCATGGGTGTACAGGTTGGAGATGAGTGAGACCATATGGTTGCAGACACGCGGACTCTGTCTAACTCACACCACGAAAGAATTTATTAGACTCTTGGATGGTGTTCAAGGGTCAAAGGGAGCTCTGGAGGACAGGGTGGGGATGGCGGGGACCCGGTGGGGAGGAACCAATGAACTGGCTTTTCAGCAAGACCAGAGGGAGGTCAAGAATGGGGGCAAAGGCTGGGCGCCCAGGGGTGGTTGGATGACTGCCCTGGTGGTAGAGAGTGAGGACGTGAGGGATGCCCGGGTGGCTCAAGTGGTTGAGTGTCTGCCATCCATTCAGGTCATGATCTCTGGGTCCTGGGATCAAGACCTGAGTCGGGCTCCCTGCTCACCGGGGAGCCTGCTTCCCCCTCTGCCTACCCCTCCCTCTGCTTGTACTCCCTCTCTCACTCTCTCTCAAATAAATAAATACAATCTTAAAAAAAAAAAAAAAAGAGGGAGGATGTGGCAGTAGACAGAGGGAAGGTCAGGCCAGGTGATGGTAGGAGGGTGGCCGAGGCCATCTCGCACTGGTCACGTAACAAAGCAGAGTCCCTGTGGGGAAGGAGGGGACCAGTCCTCCAGCCTTCTCAGAGGGCTCGGGATGCAGAATCGGCCTCTCTACATTCTGTCTTGGGGCATTGGCAGTGTTCATGTTTGGAACAGACTAAACCTCCCTCCCCCTGACCCCCTGGACTAAACCTTTCGAGGGTAGGGAGGGCAGTGGAGCTTTCTCTAATCCTGGCTCCTGGTGTGGGGTCCGTCATATGGAAGAGATGCTCACTCAGTGTTTCCTGAGCCAAATTCATTTGACCTCTTGCACCAGGCATCTTCGAAAGTGATTTCTGTGACTTCCATCTTCCTAAGGTATTTGTAATTTTCCTTGGGTCCCATGGGGTAGAATTAATATTTGTGGAGGGCTTTATGGCCCATGTGGAAGAGTTTTAATTGCTGATGGTTTTTCATTGAGTTATTAAGTAGCCTCTTGCCAGGGAGTGCCTCTTATAAAATTAATTGCACACATCCCAGTGGGTTGGTATTTCTATTAAAGCTGAAGCTGCATAAAGAAAACCTTTACAATAGAGGAAAGGAGTCAACATTTTTAGACCTGCTGAGGGATGTGTTCTCCGGACCCACAAAGTCGCCTGAGTCGGAACGGGAAGGGTTGTAAGAGTCATTGAGTCTCCAAGGTCTGGGCAGCCAGCTGGGAGCGGCTACCGGTGGAGGGGCGCTGGCAGGAGGGGAGGACGCAGAGGTGGAGCCTGGGCTCCGTGGGAGGGTGTGTGGCGACCACTGACCACTCGACAGTGTCAGCTGGGGAAGACTGCGTGTCAGTACTCAGACGGGAGGATTCCCATCCTGAATTTGCTCCCCTTCTGTGCCGGTGAGGAGAATGAGGTCTAGAGGAGAGGAGGGACTTGCTGAGGTCACCTTGCTGCTCTGTGACAACGAGGACCCTGACTTTGAAATCGGGCATAAACCCAAGAGGAAGAGAGCGGGTCAAAGCAGCCGCATCTTCCTTTCTTCCAAAGGACATTCTGTTCAAAGCTGCTGTAGGAATCTTGTTGCCCCCTTGTGCTTTTCTGGGCCTGACTTGGCAATCTCAGGAGGAAAACATGCCACGTTTTGCAAATGTGTGCAAATAACAAACATGCCCCTTCTGTCCCCGGCAGACTCATTGCACACGCATCAGGGCAGGTGGCAAAATGCAGTCGTGCAGCCTGGAATGAAAAGTGCTTTACACTTAGCGGTTTATGAGAAATTCAGTGTTAGAATTAAAACGCATTCCTGGCACAGGTGCTGTGTTAATGGTGCCATTTCTCATAATAAAACTTTGCTTGGAGAAAAATGCCTATATCTCAGAGATATTGATTCTAATTCCTGTTTCTTTTTCTTCTTCTCCCTCATCCCCCCTCCCCTTTTTGTTTCTCTTCACAGGAAAAAGTAGAATATGCCTTCCTGATTATTTTTACAGTCGAGACCTTTTTGAAGATTATAGCGTATGGATTATTGCTACATCCTAATGCTTATGTTAGGAATGGATGGAATTTACTGGATTTTGTTATAGTAATAGTAGGGTAAGTCCCTTTTATTTTGGGGGAATGTTTGGAAGATGGGAGGCAGGGAGTAATGGAAAGCCGCAGTGTCTTGAGGGAACATCGTTGCTCAGCACTTGAGGCCAGAACTTTCAGGAGGGTTTTGAAGATGAGTCATGCTGCTATCAGTCTCTGGGTTCGAATCCCCTCATTGCTTTTACTTCCTTTCCAGTAACACGTGTAGAAGGAGGTTGAAGCTCCCAATGTAAGAGGGGTTCCAGAGGACTTGGGTTTTCACAAATAGGCCAGCCCTGCTGGTGGCTAGAGTCAAATGAGTAGAACTCTTACACTTAGCACCCTGGTAAATAAAAAGCAAACAAACAAACAAAAAACCCCAAACCAGTAAAATAGTAATAAATCCTTCAGAGCAGCAAGGTACTCTTCTATTTAACAGCCCTGAGCAAAGCTATTAATTTTTTTTTGCTGACTTATGGGAAAAACTTTGGCATGCTACTGTCCCATTTTAAATAAAAAAACAAGTGTCTGAATAATGTCAGGTATCTGGCATGAAATGAAATAAGTCAGAAAATGCAGAGAAGCAGGCATTCTCCAGAAATTGTGTCACAGGAAGGAGACACCAACAGTTTAGTTATAGAAGAGTGTTTCAAAAAACATAAAACAAAAAACAGTGGGCTACGTTGTGTGATTCTGGTCTGCCATACCTGGAAATTTTGCCAGTGAGAGAAAAAAAATAAATCTGCATCAGAGGAGTTTTGGGCCTTTGGACCAAAGACCCACATAAGGAAAGACGACCTATCCCTTTGCTGAGTCTTCATTATCCAACTGTAAAGTGCGTTGCTCCTAAACTTGTATGTGGTCCTACAGAGAGAGGTTGTTAATCTCTTTGTGTTCATCTCTATAACTTTGGTCAACTTCCTTTTGAAGTTGAGCAACGTAATTTTTCTTACTTTTTAAAAATCGTGTATCCTTTAGATTTTCATGGGAGACTAATATAGCTGGATGTTAGGAGAGTGGGATAAATTTTGAACTTGCCCTTTCAAACCTAAGGAAATTCAAATGGGATCCAAAATGGTGGCCCAGTGAAATAATTAGACTCAAGGGGGAAAAGTCCGCTTTTGTAAAAACCATCATAGGGCATGGCACCTAAGGTATTAGTGCAAAGGTAGTGCAGCTGAAATGAACAGTTAGTAGGTATGTACCATACCTTCCTGTATTTGCTGACATCTAATATGGAATGGCAAGCAGGAGCCTTGCAGGTCTCTTGGTTCTGGAACAATCTCGCTGTGCCTCTCCTGAGCCTAGACTTTGTGTTCAGCTACAGGGTGGAGATGCTTAGCTCCATTTCTTTTGTCCTTACCCTACAATCACCTCAGCTTTCTACCTTGAGATATTTTTCAGATTCTAGTAGAATGCAAAGACAGGGACCCAGACAGAGGGTGGTGGTCTCATTGCACTGTGAAGACTGAGACAAGAGTCCAGGAAGGCCATTGGGGGTTGAAATTTGACAGGCATGGGATGGGAGGGAGGGGGCACTTGTCAGAGCAAGAGCTCCATAAATATGCCTTGGGGTCCTCTTGAACATTGCCTGAAGAATAATCTATCCTTACAGGGGGTAAGAATCCGTGAGGCCAGTAAAATAATACTACTGGGAGGGAAAAAAAAAAAGAGAGAAGCTGGAGACTATTAGCTGAACAATAATTACAACTCCCTTAGGTCTGAGAGATGTTTGAGTTATGACCAACCAGAATGGAAAGACCTGGACTGTCAGTAGAGACCCCAGAAGGGCCATTAGTAGTAGGGCTAAACTAAATCTAGGGTAAGGGTTGGCAAACTATGGCCAATGGGCCAAATTTAGCCTGCCACAAATTTTTGTAAATAAAGTTGTACTGTAACATGGTCACATGCATTTGTTTACATACTTGAGTAGTTGAGGTCCACAAAGCCTGAACTATTTACTATCTGTTTTGCCAATTCCTGCTAGAAAGTAAAGATCACATGAATCCCTTGCTAATGATGTTTGAAAAGAAGCCTGAAAAGGAGCAAACTGATATGAAAAGCAAACTGCCTGACAAAAAAACAAACAAACAAACAAACAAACAAAAAAACCCCAACTCAACACTTTTTAAAGGAATACAACAAAACCCAGACACTTACCAAGTGTCCAGCATCCAGTCAGATCTTATAACCATTAATTAAGACATATGGCCCATAAGTAGGAGGAAATTCCAGCTATAGAGACAGACTTAGAAATGACAGAGATGGTGGAATTAGTAGATTACTTTAAAAGACTTAAAAACAGCTATTATGGGAAAATATGACCACAATGAGAAAAGACTGGACAATAAAAGAAAGAACCACATGGGACTTTGAGAGTTGAAAAATTTTCCTGGATTGGCTTAATAGGAAATTAGACACAACAGAAGAAAAAAAAAATTAAGGAACTTGAAGACCTAGCAGTAACATAAAGAATAATGATGGAGAAAAACTGAACACCACCTTGGTGATCTGCAGGGTAATATCAGGTGGCCTAACATACATATATTTGGGGATTCCCAGAAGAGAGGGGATAGAGGGGAGTCAGAAAAAAATATTCGAAGAAATGACTCCAGATTTTCTAAATGTGATGAGCAATACAAATTCACAAATTTAGAGCTCAACAAAGCTCAAGCAAAGTAAACATGGAGAAAGCTACATCAAAGTACACCCTAATCATAATGAAATTGCTCAAAACCAAGGATAAAGAGAATATCTGAAAAATAATCAGAGAAAAAGACATTCCTGGACTTTTCATCAGCATTACAGAAGCCAGAAGACAGTAGAGAGAGATCTTTAAAGTGCTAGGGAAAATGTCAACCTAGAATTCTTACTTTGTGAAAATAGCTTTCATAACTGAAGTAAAAAGACTTTCTCAGACAAACCAAAGCTGAGGATTCACCTCCCGTAAACCTATACCTCAACAAATGTTAAAGGCATTTCTTCACACTGAAGGAAAATGAAATTAAAAAAATGAATTCCAGGAAGGGTAAATGAATGGGTAAATATAAAAACATTTTTTCCTTCATTTTAAAATCTTCTTAAAAATAATTGATTATTTAAAGCCCAAGCCCAAGTAGTAACAATGTATTTTTCATAGCTTCTGTGAACGTATAATATGTGACAATAATAGCACAAAGGACAGGAAGAAGGAAATAGCTATATACTATTGAAAACAGCTTGTACAGCTGGTGGTAAATATGATAAAATATTATTTGAAAGTAGACGGTAATAAGTTAGAGATGATGACATAAACCCTAGAGAACAGGCCAGCAAACCTCAGCCCATAGAACAAATATGGTTTATTACCTTTTTTATTTTTCACTTTGACAAAGTATTTTCCTGTCTGCTTGGGAAGATAATTTTATCAGAAGACAGTCACACTCACTCATGTTTATGGCTATTTGGTGTTAGGATGGCAGAACTGAATAGTTGTGACAGTGACCCTATGGCCTACGAGTCCCAAAATAGTTACTATCTGACACTCCACAGAAGATTTTTGCTAACATTTGCCATAGAGAAGCCACCAGAAAAATAAATGGGTATAGTTAATAAGCCCATGTTGGAGATTAAATAGAATTTTTAAATGCTCAGTAATTCAAAACAGGGATGTAGAAAAAAGGAACAATGGACAGGGCAAACAGAAAACAAACAGCAAGATAATAGATATAAGCCCACCTAAATCTTTATTATAATAGGGAGTTTATCAGATTTTACAGATTAAAAACCCAGACCCAACTCTATAGTAGCTACAAGAAACCTAACTTATAAAGATGCAAAGAATTTGAAAGTAAAAAGGCAGGAAAAATATATATACCATGTGAAAACTAATCTAAAGAAAGGTAGAGTGGCAATATTAGTCCTAAAAAGTAGACTTCAGAACAAGGAATATTATCAAGGATATAAATATTTCATAGTGATGAAAGAATTCTTTCATGAAGAAGATATAATTATATAATATTATATATTAATTATATGTAATTATCATAACATATAGTATATATAATTAATATACAGAACTTCAGAATACACCAAGCTTCAAAATACACCAAGCAAACCTGGAAAGAACTGAAGAAAAGAATGGACAAATCTATTATTGTAGTTATACATTTCAATATTTCTCTCACAAGTATTGATAGAACATCTAGAAAGAAAATCACCAAGTATATAGGGTATTTGACCAGTACCGCCTAACTTGACTTAATCGGTATTTTTAGAACACTCGGGACCAGAAAGCACATTCTTTTCACATGCACATGTAGCATTGACCAAGAACTATTCTGGGCAATAAAATAAGTTTTAGTGAATTTAAGAGTATTAAAGTCATCAAAATTATGTATTCTGAATGAATTTAGCAATGTTTCTGGATAGAAGATCAGTGTTAGAACATGTGAATTTCTATATGCTAGTCATGAACAATTGGAAAATGAAATTTTAAAGACATTATTTACTATAACATCAAAAAGCATAAATATTTAAGGATAAATAGCACACCACAAATGACTAAACTTTGCTGAGAGCAATTAAAGAATACCTAAATAAATGGAATGATGTACCATGTTCATGGATTGGACGGCTCAGTTATTCTTAGGATATCAGTTCTTCTCAAACTGAGCTATAGATTGAATCCTAATCTAAATCCCAGCAAGATTGCTGTAGAGATTGACAGTTTATTCAAAAACTTATATGGAGGGCACCTGGCTGGCTCAGTGGGTTAATGCCTCTGCCTACAGCTCAGATCATGATCTCAGGGTCCTGGGATCGAGCCCTGCATCGGGCTCTCTGCTCAGCTAGGCGCCTGCTTCTCCCCCCCCCCCCCGCCTACTTGTGATCTCTGTCTGTCAAATAAATAAATAAAATCTTAAAAAAAAAACTTATATGGAAATTAGGCTGAAGATTAGCTGAAGAAATATTTAAGAACAAAGCTGGAATCTGATCTTAAGGCTTACTATAAAGCTACAGTAGTCAAGACTACTGTATGATGTTGGCATAAGAAGTAGACTTAAAGATCAATGGAACATAATTAGGGATTCTAGAAATAGACCTATATGTATATAATCAATTTATTTTAGACAAAGTTGCCTTGTTTTAAGTGGGTTGAATTTGTTTCAGTGGGTTGAATTATAAGTTGTAGTACTAAATTGTAGTCCATTTTTAACAAATGGTACTGGAACAACTATTTATCCATATGAAAAAAAAGGATCTTTATTCTTACCTTATAATATACACAAATATTACCTTAAAATGGGTCATAGACCTTTGTGTGAAAGCTGAAACTATATAATGTCTAGGGGAAGATCTTTGTGACCTTGGGAAAGGCAGAGTTTTGTTTTTTTTTTTTTTTAGGACCCAAAAAGCACCAGCCATAAAAGAAATAATTGAAATTTTGGAGCTTACCAAAATTTAAAATTTTTCTTCAAAAGATAGTGTAAAGAAAATTAAAAATTAAGGCACAGGCTGGGAAAAAATATTCACAATACAGATAAATGACAAAGGACTTGTATTCAGAATATATAAAGAATTCTTACTACCCATTAGTAAGAAGACAACCTATATAAATGGACAAAAGATTCGAACAGATCTTCACAAAAGAGGATATGTAAATGGTTAACAAGCACCTGAAAAGATGTTCAACATCATTAGAAATTAGAGAAGTGCAAATTAAAATCCCAGTGACACACTACATACCCACTAGCATTACTAAATATAGAAAGATTGACAGTACTAAATCTTAGCCAAGATGTGGAGCAACTGGAACTCTCATACCCTGCTTGTAGAAATGGAAAATGGTGTAGTCACTTTGGGAGAGTTTGCCAGCCTCTTACCATGTTAATCATACTCTAACCACAGGACCATATTACTCTTAGTTACTTACCAAGATAAATGAAAACACATGCTCACAGAGTTTATTCATAATGGAGAAAAACTGGAAATGACCCAGATATCACCTAACAGGTGAATGGATAGATTCATTATGGTATATTCATACAATGGAATATCCCAACAATAAAAAGAAATGAACTGTGGATAGATGTAACAACTTGGATAAGTCTCAAAAAATGTGGTGAGCAAAAGAAGTTAAAAGAAGAACATGTGTTGTATGATTTCATTTATTAAAGATTCTGGAAAAGGGAAAAAACAACCCAAACTGATAGACAGCCAATCAGTGGATACCAAAGGCTGAGCCAAGAGGGAGATAATTGCACAGAGCTATTAAAGAACTATGGGAGATGGTGGAAATGTTCTCGATCTTGACTGTGGTGTTTGCACTTGGACTTCTACATTTGATAAAACGCCTCTCATTGTACATTTTAAGTAGATGTATTTTATCATATATAAGTTGATCTGTAATAAGGTTGACTTAAAAAGTAAAAAAAATCACCTAGGAAACGAAAATAGGAATGGACTCATTGGTCTTTCTTATTAAATATGAAGAACTTGAGAAGATTATTTATTTTATCCAAAATATGCACTAAATTATAGTCAAAGAGCAGAAGAAAAATTTAAAAAAGTTATTAGGCCTTCATGTGAATCAAATTTCTACTCACTAAAGTTTCCAACTGCAGGCTGTATCTCAATCCAATGGATTTTCCATTCCAAGCCAACTGTGACCTATTGCTTTTGTCAAGATTCCCAATAACAGAGACATTAAGGAAGTAACTGATACTTCTGAAATGTTAACGGTAATAGTGTGACCACAAGAGGACTCAATGTGTCTACCAGAGCTGATAGTGTTCCCTGCATAGAAAAGTTTACTCCACTCACTTAATGTTTCAGTCAACATACATTTCAGGCTCATCACTTAAACTTTTGTGAAGAAAAGTGGGACAGTCATGCTAGGGCTTCTAACTTGAGTCCGTTTAAGTAGCTCCTTGCCTTTTTCCTCTGCATTGGGGTAAACTTTATAACATTCTAGGATCAAATACTTTCTCTTCATGTCCTGAACTCTCCAGGTGTGTGGTCTTTTTTCTCATTGGGGGTGGTGGGCCTGAGTGGTGAAGGGAGTAGAATCATAGAATATTAGACTGGGAAGGGCAGGGCTCTGGATCCTTTAATCCAGTTTTCTCCTTTTACAGAGGGGGAAACTGAGGCCTAGAGGAGGAGAGGAACTTTCCTAAAGCCTCCTAACTCTTAGGAATGGAAGCCAGCTCCAGCCCCTTCCACCCCTGGCTATCTGGAGAAGGCTGCCAGCTTCCCTCTCTGGCTCAGGTTCCTATGTTATGGGAGAGAGACATCATTCACCTGTTTTCAAGGGCATTGCTGAAGAACAAGGGGTCAAAGGACCATGAAGTACGCACTGTAAAACACAGACACTTGAAAGTGATCTTCATTCACCACCTGCATAAATTACTTTCCTAACCCTTTGGGATGAAAATTCCTGTGGCTGCCACATTTCAGAAGAGTTTGAGGTTTTTCTTTCTTCCTTGTTCTTTGTTTTTGTGAAGCTATGAATTTGTTTTGGAGGGGAGAATTTTAACTGGAGCCTTGCTGCAGGGGTTTACAGTAATTAAAAAAAAAAAAAAAAAAAAACTATTCTAATGAGAGAAACCGGTCATAAATTTGATCTATTTCTCCAGTCATAACTAGAGGGAGCCCACCATCTGAAGGTCTGAAAGGGTAGAGGTTTGATTTATCCCTCTCCACGGGTGCCACCCTGCTCTGCCCCCACCTAGGTTCACTGCTAATTGCTGGACTGTTGTTAAAACACATGGCTGGTCTTTAAGTGCCCCAGAATGATAGGACTATGCCTGATCAGGACTGTAATCAGACCACCCTGTATTTTATGGACTTCGTGTCTTGGCGGTCCAGAAGCATGCCAGTGGGGGCAGAGTTTCTGCTTCAGCTCCTAATTAAACTTCAGAAACCTTTTCTTTGTTGCTGGGCCAGTCATCCCCACAATCTGATTGGCCAGAGTTGATTCTATTTGAAATGGGCAAATTTAGATTTATTCTGAAAAACAAGCATTAATTCCAAAGAGTAAATGTTTATTTGAAAGAGCAAAAGTAACTGTCAAGTGAGCAGATTGTCTGAAAATAGCTTTATCCAAAAAAACCTTTGGAGAGTAGGAAAAAATGTGTCGTGGCTGCCAGATTAAATATTAGACACATTTCAAAAGAGAAAATGACGATATTAATCCTTTACCTTGGGTTACTGCTTTTGGCCTTTGCACAACTCCTCAGTATCTGTGATTTATATCATTCCTTGAACATCCCTGTGTGGGTAGAGGGTCATGTGTGTGTGGGGAGGGCCTGTACCAGAAATTGTGTAACACATTGATTAAGATTTGGGACTTTGAATCAATGTTCACTCACCCATTGATTTACTCCTCAGAAATTTCTCGAGCATCTTCTGTGTTGAGTTCTAGGCACTAGGCTTGAACAGACTAAACAACAAATGAACTACACAGACTAAAAGTCCCTGCTCTCATGGGACCTGGATCCTGAGGGGGCCAACGCACCTGGATTCATACATTAGTTCTACACTAATAGTGTGACCGTGGGCAAGTTACTTGTTCTCATCAAGTGTGTTTCCTCACATGTAGATAATAAGAATCCCTATTGCATCACACTTTCTAAGGACTAGGATGGTGCATGTAAAGTGTTCGGCCCATAGTGAATGTGTGTATGGAAGGTGGCCGCCATGTTGGTTTTCCTGGTGACTTCTGTTCCAGGGAAACCTAAGGTGGTTGGCTCCCTGGTGAGTTCCCTCTTCATTGGGACCGGACTTGCTCAGGGATGCTCTGTTGGCAGGAAAACAGCTGAGATTGGTTCTTGTTCTTGGTCATGTCAGAGGTGGGGGTGGCTTTTGGGATTCACAGCCTGATTCGTGCCTTTGCCCTGCTTCCCCTCTGCATAGGCAGCAGCCCCACAGAATTAGTCCTTGTGCAGAAATAACTACTATTATCCTCCTGGGTTCCTTCCCTGGGTGACAGCCTCTAATGTTTCTTCCTTTCTTCTTTTTTTCAGATTGTTTAGTGTAATTCTGGAACAATTAACCAAAGAAACAGAAGGCGGTAACCACTCCAGTGGCAAGTCAGGAGGCTTCGACGTCAAAGCCCTCCGCGCCTTTCGGGTGTTACGACCACTTCGACTAGTGTCAGGAGTGCCCAGTAAGCACGTCTTGTTTCCTAAAGCCAGGAGTTTGTTGACTTGATTTTTCTTCTGGGTGGGGCTCCGGATTCTGGAGCGGAGTGCTGTCAGGTGAGTTGCCGAGTGCCACCCAGACGACCACGGAGGGCTTCACGGCTCACAGCACACTTCTGCTTGCGTGGTCCCTTCGGACCCCGTGAGGGCCCCGAGAAGGCGCTAGGAGTGATTGTCGTCTTCCCGATTTTGTGGGAGAATCTCCTCTTACAGAGACACCGAGCGAGTGGTGACACGAGGCTTTGAGGCCAGGCTTCCTGATTCCAGGCTAGTTTCCCTTCTTGGACACCTTGCTGCCACCACCGCCCCCTGCTCCCAGGCCGGCCCCTCTGAAAGTGGTGGCTTATGCAGAGACACCGAGTGAGGGGGTTGGAGGGCTCCCAACAGACTGGCTTTCCTCAGAGTGAACAGCAACAGGGGGCTGGACTCCTGGAACGTCTGCTCAGCTTGTCTGGCTCTGGGGGAAGAGGTGGATGCTTCCGGGTCCTCCCTGCATGTAGGGGAGGGTCAGACCTGCTTGTAGGTGGTTTGGAGGACCGAATGAGATGATGCGGGGAGAGCCCCCGTAGCATGAGGTCTGGAGCACAGAGGTGGCCCTTCATGGTGAGGGATGCTGTTTTCTTCCACGAGGCTGCAATACTTCTCTGTGCCAGACCCTAGTTTGCTTTTTGCTTTAGACGTCTGGGCCAGGTTGAGTGCCAGCTGAACTGGGACAGATGCTGTCTGTGCTCTGGCCTGCGGCTGTAACGTGCTTCTGTTCCCCTAAGGACCATGGAGTCTGCTTCACTGGCCTCTGTCCCTCATGGGACAGCCCTGGTGGGGGGGGCTTGAGGGTAGAAATCTTAGCACCTCTCCAAGGGTTGTGGTGACAGCTGCCTCCTCCAGCCGGAGGAAGGATACGGGACCATAGGGTGTGCCTGTTTTCATGACTCATGAAGCCATCAAAAAAGCACAGATCATGTTGTTTTCACCTCTCCAGAAGTTCTTCATGAAATTTTATTAAACCTGTTGGCACTCGGGACACACCAAAAATTCTCTGGAAAAAAAAAAAAAAAGATTTCCAAATTTAACATTTTAAAATGTAGGAAGTGGTGTTTTATGTGGACTTGTTTTTCCAGATGGTTCATTTATTTTCATTGAAAAAGATCACAAGTCAAAACCACAGAGCTGTCTGGAAGCAATTGAGAAAAATAGAAATACCTTGGAAATGACTGGTTTTGTTATGTGGAACATGATGAAATGAGAAGTCCAACGAGCAAGCATGTTCTTTCAGATTTAGTTGTTACAGCCTAATCTAATCTCAAAGTCAACACGACAGCCTTTGTCCCCCCGCAAAGAGCAAAGGACAGCCTGTTTGCGGCACGTGTTGTAAGGGATGAGTGGGTGCTGTGGCTTCGTACGTGCAGGTCTGGTCGGGGAAGCTTCCTGAACTCACAGATCATTGCATTAGCTTCCCTGTTTCACGAGGTTTTCTCGAAATGGCTAGTCTAGGGTGCTCTTCAGAACAGGTTTTATTTTATTTTTTATTTTTATTTTTTTATTTATTTTTTTTTTTTTTTCAGAACAGGTTTTAAACTAAATTTCTTCCTTTTCTCCCTTGTACCATGATGGAGCTCTCTCGCATCACACGCTCCCAGAGGTCAGCAGGGAGAAATGGGGACCTGAGTCCTGTTGAGGACTTTTCAGCCCACAGTTATTAATTCCCCTAGTAGAGAATACCCAAGTCTCTCATCAGCCCCAACTGGGCCAGGGGTTCTGGGTCTTGATGTTTTCCGTGCTGGTTGGCAACTGGGGTCTAGTGATGTATTAAGAATGCTGAAATTGTTAAAAATGCCAGGGAAGGTGTGACAGTTTACACTTAAACCTGGGAATCATCTTGTACCTTCCCCAGAGCATTCAGACTGCAGTATAAGACATGATTCTGTGTGTGTCTGTGAATACGTATTCATTCGTTGGGAGGTATCGTAAAAGAGAGTGCCCAGACGTTTGTGGAGTTCTTAACCACCCACACTCAGATGATGAATATTTACCGGAGTCCCGGACCATCAGATGGGAAAGAACCCTACAGACCTTCCGTGGGCATCATCTCTTAGATGAGGAAGCCAAGGGCTGTGGAGGGCTAGCAGCTGGTGCAGATTCTCACAGCCAGTGGCTGGCCGAGTGAGGACAGACACACGCTGTCTTGGTTCCTGGCCTAGTGGTCTTTCCCTTCCACACCACTGTCTCCTGAGCTAGAGTCCCGAGAGCTCTGCTGTCCACGCTGATAACGCATCAAGGAGCCTAATGTCGGGAAAGTCTACACATTAACATTAAGATAAACCCCGTTAGCTCATAAATTTGGCCAATCTGAAATACAGTAGATACAATGAATGAATGAACATGTTCATGAAACACACAGTGCACTACCATAGAATTTCCAAAGAATTTAGAATGAATAATAGAAATCACCAAATGGTGATTTTTGAATGGCCCATCCTTGTCTTGAAAAACAAAACCAAAACAACCTGAGTACATTAGAGCAGTTATTTCTTTTCATCTAATGCCTGATATAAAAGGTGAAAATGTCAAAAACCATCCTATGAATCTTTTTTTTTTTTTTCCTAAAACCAATTGAACATTTAAATATCTGAAGGTGATACCTAGGATTTGGGTTGTAATGAGAGTCTTGGAAAGACGGGCTCTTCCTGAGTCAGAAACCTCTTCCCGGTTTTCCCTCCCCATCTCCTCCCTCTCTTTCCATGTGCTTGCCATCACGGTCAACTCTCATCACTGTTGTTAATGAATATTCTCTTGGATCGGTGTGTTCTGACTTCTTTCTTACTCCTAGTGTCTCAGCTGCTCACACACCTTCATTCTTTGAGTATGTGTTGGGGGAATGAGAAGATACTGTAAAAGAGTGGTGTGAAAGAGGAGAGATGGCAGGGAGGGAGAAGGGAAGTCAGGGAAGGACGGGAAAGCAGGAACGGCGCAGAGCCGCAGCTGTGCTCACCAGCTGGGGGGAGAGCATGGATGCTATACCAGGAGTCCGGAAGCCTGGCCGCACTGTGCGTTCTGGTTTCTTTCTGACCCTCAGTCTACAGCCTCTGCCCACCTGCTTCTCACCTCAGTGTTGCCTCGCCAACCCTCTCTCCACGGTTTTACTCCCATCCCGCCCTGTGGCCCTGAGTGTTGCTCTCTGCAGGACTTCTGGGTGTCCGTGCTCCAACCTTGGCTCTCAAGTCTACATCCCAGCTGCACGACACCTCCCTCTTGATGCTGGGCCCATGATCAGACTTGCCTGGTATGGAGCGGCTCTAGTCTCTCTCTTCCCTCCCTTGTTCCAGGGGGAGCCTCCTTCTGACAGGCTTGTTTTGGTTAGACACAGGGTTTTGCTGATGGACTCAAGTCCGGCCCTGTAATCTGAATTTAATACCCAGAGCTACCTTCCTGCAATCTGCTTTTCTTTCCTGATCTTCTCTCCACCATGTGACCACCAACCAAGGCTTATGGGCACCCGGCCTACATTGCCTAGCTCACCTCCGTGCTTCTGGTGCTCTTGCCTCTGGCTGGAGTGGCCCCTCTCCCAGGCCCACCTGTGCAAATCCATCTTCTTCCACCTTTAGGCCTTGGCGAGAGGGGGCTGCTGCCCAGTCCTGTTTCTTATCAGAAGTGATGTCTTTCGTCCATCCCTCTTTAATTTTCCCTGTTCAACTATAGCATCTGTGTGCTACCCTAGGGCAATTTGTGTGTAAATTAGAATTACACACAATTTACCTTCTAGAACATACCCTCTTTGAGAGAAGGCACTTTATGTAACACCTCGTCATACTCCCCAAAGCGCTGAACTTTCTACTTGCCATGTAGCAGCTGTTCAAGGAACTTTGTTGAATGGATGAACGAACACGTGAATGAATCATGTGACCTTGACCTTGGCCGGTCCATCCTCTCTCTGAGCCTTGGTCTTTCCATCTGTTGAGGGACGCAGTTGGATTAGATGGTCTTTTAGGTTCCTTTTTATCTTATCTCACATCCAGGTTTAATGTTAATTTAATGTTAAATATTTCTTTGAATTTTACTACTATTGTTATGTGGAGCAGGCATCAAGGCATCAGGAATTTTATGTATATTTATATATGTGAGTGTACATGTATATGTATGTGTGTATATGTGTATGTATGTATCCTTGAAGCATCTCCATGACTCACAGACTTATTTCTCTCTCTCCTAGGTTTACAAGTTGTCCTGAACTCCATTATAAAAGCCATGGTTCCCCTCCTTCACATAGCCCTTTTGGTATTATTTGTAATCATAATCTATGCTATTATAGGATTGGAACTTTTTATTGGAAAAATGCACAAAACATGTTTTTTTGCTGACACAGGTGAGTAAGGAAAACGGTAGCAACTTAACTTAAAAAAAAAAAAAAAATTAATTTTTTTTCCCAAAAAAAATTCTTTGGTTTTGGGAAAAACTAAAACAAAATGGGGGGGAGGGGGGTGGAAGCCAAATATACCAGTAAAACCAGTAAGAACCAGCCAGTTTTCAGTGTGAATTGTGTTCAGAATAAATGAGGAGTTAATCTCCTTTTCTATCCTGATTTCCTATGTAATGCATCCTGGCAAATGAGATGAGGTGTCCCCAGTAGTAGAGCATGAATGGAATCACCACCACTGTTCTATAGCGTCAGGGCAGAGGAGAGAGCCATGGACTCGAGAGCATATGCCACGGGAGCGGGGGTCTTTGAAGTGGACCTTGAGGGTCAAGTGGGAGGCATAGCATAGCAGAGATGGGAGGCAGGTGTTCTAGGCTCTGCAAAGTCAGCTTCCCCTGACTTTGGGCTCCCTGGTGTTCATGTCTGGAGTGGTGACGCCCACGTACTCTGTTTGCAGATATCCTAGCTGAAGAGGACCCAGCTCCGTGTGCGTTCTCAGGGAATGGACGCCAGTGTGCCGCCAATGGCACGGAGTGTAGGAGTGGCTGGGTTGGCCCAAACGGAGGCATCACCAACTTTGATAACTTTGCCTTTGCCATGCTCACCGTGTTTCAGTGCATCACCATGGAGGGCTGGACAGACGTGCTCTACTGGGTAAGCAGCTGGAGGACAGTGTGTGTGGAATGTTCTTTTTTTGGATAAGAGTGTTCCATTCGTTAGAGTGAAAAGAAACACTGGCAGTCCGTTCTTGGGAAGGGAAGCAGACCCTCTCCTCACTCAGTGAGACTCCTCTTTCTTCCTCAGTGAGACTCCTCTTTCTTCCCTAGTTTCTATTCTGGAAAGCCACTGTGTAATGTTGGCTGCCTCACTCCCCAGTACTGCCTGGGGACTTGCTGTAGAGTGTGCCCACGAGTCCTAGCTTTCGAGGAACTCCCAAAGTCAGGGCTGTTCTAGATTAAACTCTTAGAGAGCCAGGGGTTATTTTCCAGGTTAAGAGGCTCCTGGACTTCCATGAGTTGGATTTTTTTTTTTTTTTTTTTAAACATAAAGGTAGGTTCTCTGCCAGATCCTAAACAGAAGATAGGGAAAATAAATTGGATCCCTTTTAGGCTTTCCATGAACTTAGTGTAACTTTCAGGTCAAAATGGATTTTTCCCTTATTATAATATTTCCCTTTTGCATCTTCAGCATTTCCCTAAATCAGCCCAGCACAAGCCCCTGCCTCTCTCTTCCTTTCTCTTTGGAGCTCTAGAAGTCTGGCAGAGAGGGTGGGAAAGGCACATAGGATTTCCAGGACTGGTGGACCCATCCAACCAGCTATGAAAACAGATGCCCTTTCTATGGCTGAGGTCTGGTTCTTCTTGTTCCTGACAGAGCCAGAAGGGTTTGCTGTAAATGAAGAACTGTAGTATTTAACAACTATTTCCCAGAGCTGAGTTTGTTTGTTTTCTCATTTATTTGGTAGAATTTGAAAAAGCTCACAGAAGCTTAGAAAGTAATTTCCATTGCACAGATTGTGGGGGAAAACAGCTGACATGCAGATTTTGAGCCTAAACCCAAGTTCAAATGGGATTAATCAGGATCCCAATAATGACTTGTTAAAAGGCAATTAGTAATAAAATACTTCTTCAATGGGCAGTCTTTAGTTAGAAACTGAGCAGTAGCTTCTGGCAGTATCTAAATTTTAGACCATAAATGGGGTTCCATATTCCTTTACAACTTCAGAGAACCTGACGCATGATGGTTATAAATAGGTTTTTGCTTCCCTTCCCCAGTGTGCACCATGCTTACAGGGTTGTAGAAGTTCTTATATAGTTATTGTTAGGCAAAGAAGGTATGTTTTTATTTGCTTCCCCACAGCATTAGTCTAGTTTTGTAGAAAGTTTTGAGTATCACCAACATGTATTTTGTTTCTCTCTCTTCCCTTCCTTTTTCTTACTGTCCTATGAAAGAAAGAGTGTGAGTGTGAGTGTGTGTGTGTGTGTGTGTGTGTATGCATGTCTGTTTTTTATATCCATAAGATAATGCCTTTTATGAAGAGGAAGAAGGAGGGAAATTGTATTGGATGAGCTAGGATCCTGGCCATGGCAAGGCGACCTTCAAATTAGATAAAGGTTCATTGTCAGCATTATCTTCAAAGTTGCAAATCCTAGTTAGATTACTTGAGGTCTCAATCCCACTCTCGCCTGGAAGTTTCTGATACATAGAAAATATTCCTCCAAATAGCCCAAACTTTGAGCCCTGCCCCCTCCCCACCAAATGGGACAGAAACAATATTTTGTTTAAAAAAAAAAAAAATCTGTGACTCCTCTCAGCTCTGCTGTTCTCTCTGTTGTCAGAGTGAATTGTCCACTGCTGATCCAACGTGCCTGACTAATACACAATTTTATACTTGGTTAAGTTTTGGTACATGGGTTCTCTCACGACAATTTTCCTGTTGTCAAGCAAGCAAGAACCGTGGGTATGTGAGTAAAGGAGAGAAAACTCCGCGCACCCAGAAACAGAAGTTCCCGTTGCTTTTTCCTCAGAACATTTAAGTATCACCTAGGATTGTGTAATTATTATCTCTAGTGTCAAGACGACAATCACAGAGTTAATAATTTGACAATAGAATAATTATATTCTGTGTGAATTACAGGGCATCTTTATTCTGATGGAGAATCTCAAGAAATTTATCAACATTATCCCAGTCTATATCCCTTTCTTAGAAAGTCTGGGATTTTTAAAGTCCAACAGTGGTGTAGAGAGAGACCACTATCCCTAGGATCCTACAGCTAGGGACTGGGGTTCTTAATCTAGAACAGGGGTCTATAGACCTATAAGGGGCCAGATAGTAACTATATTTGGCCTTGCAGACCATAATATATGTGTAACAATGACACCGTTCTGCCTTCTGTCTCCCCATGTGACTCAGAAGTGGGTACAGATAACACATTAAAATTTCATTTCTGGACACCGAACTTTGAGCTTTGTAGAACATTCCTGTGTCATGAGAGAGTCTTTTGATTCCCCTCCCAACTATTCAAAAATGAAAAAGCGTATTTTTAGCTCAAGGGCTGTGCACAGGCAGGTAATGGGCTGGGATTGGCCCCCAGGTTATAGTTTGGTGACCCCTCCTCCAGACTGGAACCCAGCACTCTTTCCTTGGTGTTGTCCACTGTCAGAGGTTTGTGAATCATTCTAGAACACAAGAGGGCAGCTGAGTGATCTCCCATACAGTTCACGAAGATCTTATCCTCTGAAACACATCAGGTTGTTTTTAATTATGTGTTGATTACATTTAACTCATGAGGGAGATAGACAAGAGCCAAGATACCAGACGTTCTTAATATTTAACGGGCCATGGTCAGGTGGAAGATACACAGCTGTGTTCCACAACAGACCTCCCTTGACCAGCGTAGTTCCTGGCACAGAGCAGGTGCTCAGCAAACACTGGTTACTCCTGCTCCTCATGGTACGATCCCATTGCCTCAGTGTAGAGGGGCCATGTTTGGATATCAATTTTTTTTAAAGATTTATTTGACACATTTATTTGACAGAGACACAGCAAGAGAGGGAACGCAAAGAGGAGGAGTGAGAGAGGGAGAAGCAGACTTCACACTGAGCAGGGAGCCCGATGCAGGGCTCAATCCTAGGACCGTGGGGTCATGACCTGAGCTGAAGGGAGATGCTTAACAACTGAGCCACCCAGGCGCCCCTAAATATCAATTTTTCATACAACTAGAGTATAAAGGGAACGTCTTGAGAGAGAACTAAGGAGATTAGATTGTAGATAATGATTGAGAGCGAGTTTCTCAATCCTTTAGGTGTTTGTATATGGCGGGCAAAGTCTTTGCCAGGGATTACTTCCCATCTTGTCAAGATTACATTCAGTCAGTCAGTGTTCTCAAGCTCACTGATGCCTGATTCTCAAGAATTTCTGGCAAGGAGACGGCTGGGTCTTGAGAAAAAGGTGGGTAGGTCTAATATGCAGGAAGACATACTTAGAACACTTTGGATATGTGGGAGTGGGATTAACCATTTCTGATGGGGGGAAAGAGTCCTTCTAGAGCTCTTTGATAAGCATTCCATAAGCATAATTACACTGTCATCTGACCCACACTTATTTGTTGTCTACGGAGGCAGCAGGGTGTAGGGCAGGGGAAGAGCATGAAGGCTGGATAGGGCTGAGTGCGTGACCTTGGGTAGGTCATCACAACTCTCTTGTTTAATTTTCTTGTCTGCAAGATGCACAGTTAGACTACATGATCCAATTCTTCAATTCAGAGGAAATTTTTTTAAAGGTAGGAAATTAAAATAGGGTTGGTTTTAGGAGAGAGCTACCATATGTAAATCACCCACGACCTTTTGCTTTAGCACCAAGCTCTTTCCTTAATGAACACACCTCTGGAGGGGCTGGCTGCCAGACTCCAACAGGAAGTTCTCATGGTCAAACTGGCCACCTGTTTCTTTCAAGACACCTGGGTAATTCCTCTCTTGTTGGCTGAGGGCATCCCTTTCTCTTATTCCTTCCTTAAGGGGAGCCATCAACAGGATACCAGGTTCCCAGTAGTCTTTTCACCACTTAGGGGGGGAAAAAAAAAACCTTAGGTTGGTCTTTAATTGGAGATAATATTGTGCATCTCAGCCTTTGAAATGAAGGGAAAAACATAAACTAAAAAGAATCTTGTTTTCTAGGCACCAGGCGACCCCATATGATGACTTTGATGTGAATCTTTTAAGAATGAATCTAAACTGAAATCCTTCAGCTCATGCCGAGTTTTTCCTTGTTGATAAACCCATGCAGACAAAACCCCCCGCAGAGTCTCTATTGTCATTTGGGTATTTTGTCTAATAGCTTGTTTAGTTCTGACTCATCCTGTGTATATGGTAAGGTCTGAGAAATGCTAGCCTCTGAGAAGAGACGTGGGTTGAGAAGATTGAGTTTTGGAGAAAGACTGGCCCTTAGCGCTTAAGTTTTGTCTTCCCCCACCTTCTGGAGTGTTCGAGACCATCTTCCATGGCCTTCCCTCCAGCCCCCAGCTGTCATTGCAGTTGGTATTTCTGCTCCAAGTAAATGCAAATCTGTCCAACACCTACTCGTAAGATGTTAAAAGCTTCTTTAATTAAAAAAAAAAAGTGCCCTCCTAAGTGTAATAGACCGCTGTTCCTAGAACATTCGCTGGAACAGCAAACGGAGATCCGACTGAGGATTGGTAAAGCAGTAGGCCTGGCCGCTGACCAGCCCTCTTTCACCTCATCCCAGTCAGTTGACAGCTGGCGCCAGCCCTCGCAGGGCGGGCCTCCAGCGCCTGAGCTGTACAAGAGGGAGGTCTCCTGATTAGAGTCCTGGACTTTGCCCTTCCTTCCCTCACCCCACGAGCATGCTCTCCCCTGTTGCCTGCACTGCTCCAACCCAGAGAAAACAGGCTCAGGGAGGTCTCCGTGGAAGGTCCGGACTCCAGGTGGGTCTCCGGCCACCATGCCGGGCAGCCTGGTTCTTCTCCTCCACATACGGCTTTTTAAATAAGTTTAGTGGTGTCGCTGCTTTGGAAGAATTACCCTCTGCCTTCCTGCCGAAATTAGTTTATCCAGCTGAATTAGATCAACAATTGCAGCCACGGCCCGGGTTCATTCATTACTCTAATTGCCAATATGAGATGTGCAGACTGATAGGAGTTCTATTAAGCACATCAATTTTCATGTGGCCAAACAGGTGTTTCATAAGGGATTTAATGCCCTCTCCCTAGACTTCAGCAACAGATGTTAGGTCTTTTTTTTTTTTTTTTTTCAATGTTCTCTTTTCCTGTTTGGCTTCTGCATGAGGCAAACATAGTGAAATGCATGCACTTCATTTTGCAAAGCTAAAGCTAAAATCAGGAGACAGGTAAAATGGGAGAAAAATCACATGCTTCAAGGTCAAAGGGGCTTGCACCTGCAAGGCAAGAACCATGACTTTCGAAGACCACATACAGTTCTGTTGGGCAAGATTCTGGGTGCTCAGCAAAGTCAGGCCTGCAGTCTTTCATTCTGTCCCTGGACTGGTTCTGAACACCTCCTTCCTGGGAGAAGTGTTTGCCTAATTTAACACAGACCTGTGCTGCTGGAAAGTTCCATCTCTAGCCATGAACCTTGAAGCACCTGTTTGCTCCTGCATGAGAGCTATTCATGACCAAATCTCCCTGGTGAGGGTCTGCCACGGAGTCCACCTCTGACTGGGATGCTCGAGATTGTTTCAGAAGTAGTGGCACAGGGTTTCTCCGGACCAGCCCTCTTTCACCTTGTCCCGGTCAGCTCACAGCTAAAGCCAGCTCTCCCAGGGTCGGTTGTCTAGGTCCAAGGTAGGTGTGGGGGATAAGCACGTCTTTCTTTTTCCTGGGTCCTTCCTTGGGTGCAGTTGGCAAAAATCTCATTCCCCAAAGCATCCTTGAGTATGTGTCAGCTAATCGACTTCTGAACACTCTTCTCTTTGTGTTCATTGAGCCATGCATGCCCTCACTGATGGTAGATAATCTAGCTTTTAGGTGGGTTAGGTTTCTTTGGATAGGCTGGCTCCCAATAGAAATTTATTATTTTAGGGTTTTTTTCTTTTTTTAAGGAAAAGAATTTATAGAGTCAGGTGTTACAAGTTTGTTTCTCTAAGTAAGACTTTTCCACCATCACAAATTTTAAAAGCAGAAAGTTTTAACAACTTGGGTAGAGTAGGAAATACTTTCCAGCTAAGCACTAGCTTAGAAGAGCTGGACCAAGATCTGTTCTGAAAATCCATGATCCAAGACTGTTTCCAGCGAGAAAGAGCCAGATCCCAGCTGATTTCCATGCCTATGTCAAAGTCTGCTATTATTTGCTCTGAAAGCTTTGATGACTCTACCTGGGCGTGTGTGCACGTGTGCGTGCGTGCGTGCGTGTGTGTGTGTTGAGAATATATAGTGAATGTGCCTTGGCTACTGTTGTCTCTGATCCAAATCTAAGTAAATGTTTAATTCAATGTATAGAATGCTGTCTCTAACGTGACCGTCTCTCTTTATTAGATCCTCTTTTTAACCCACTCCTATGAGACCATCTTATTTCTTGCAGATGAATGATGCTATGGGATTTGAATTGCCCTGGGTGTATTTTGTCAGTCTCGTCATCTTTGGGTCATTTTTCGTACTAAATCTTGTACTTGGTGTATTGAGCGGGTAAGCTACACCTCTTTCATCTTGAAAGTGGAGTCCTAAGGGCATTTGCCAAGACCACACAGGTTTTGCTAGGTGGGGGCAGCCGGGTGGGTGCCAGACACGTCCTGTGTCCCCTGAGATGCTTTCTCTCCTGCCGAGGCTTCCCGAACCGAGATGCTTCCTGGAACCTCACCAGCCTTGACTGAAAGAAAGCTGTGGAACGGTTATCGACCAGAAATTAATCAGCGCTGTTGCTTGGGATTTAAATAGATTTCATTGCTTGCCCTTTTTGTCTGTCCTAAAATGAGATACATTTATAATTGCTTTATTGGTCTGGATCCCAATATGCAGATTAATTGGTACGAAACAGTAGCTAAACAAGCTGGTCCTGGCCGACTTCAGCAGCAGCACTTGTCCTTACCCGACGACAAAAATGAAAGGTCCTGGGTGGGGTCCCTGTCCTCAGAGTAGTAGTGTTCCCTCAAAGCCCTGAGTGGTCTGGCAGCTGCCCCTGGGACTCCGCTCTTTAGTAAATAGATAACTGATAACTGATCTCCTTACATTTTTACAGGTAAATGATGCGATAGGATGGGAATGGCCATGGGTGTATTTTGTTAGTCTGATCATCCTTGGCTCATTTTTCGTCCTTAACCTGGTTCTTGGTGTCCTTAGTGGGTAAGCAGTCAGATGTGTGTTGCACAGTCCGTTGCTGCCTCGTGTGGGGCAGCTCTGCGCGTCCCCCAGCTGCTCCCCGCGGCTTCTCTGCATGCGTGTGGACTCTGACGTCCCTTCTGTGTGTTGCTTTTGGATTGAACTGTGATTCTCTCTGCCTGTACCTTGTCTGTGAGACTCTGTGTTTCTGATGCTTGCCACATGTTATTAATCTCACAAAAGCGTGTCCCTGCAGCTGGGCTCATGTGCAGAAGCCTGTGTACAGAAGCGGATTGCAAGGGACTGAAAGGAGTCCCAGCCTTGGTGACCCCCACCCACAACCCAGGAAAGGGCCTTATGTCTTTTGTGCCTGTGTTCCCATTAGTATATAACCTGGCCTTTTTGAGTTACCCACAGCCTATCACGAATATATCCAGGGCGTTTAAGATGTTCTTGAAAAGGAGGAATGAACCTCGATTACCGCATAAGTCCTGAACAATTTCAGAATCTTACATCCTTCAAGTCATTTATTTGCTTGTTTTTTTGCTGCTGTCACTGTGTGAATTGTCCCTCTAATTCATGATTAGTCTTTGCTTGTGGAATCCCTAATGCAGAGGAATGAGCAGCTTCTGCATACACACTTCCTGTGGCCTTAGGGTCCTCCTCATTCAGTCACCATATTTGAAATGTCAGTGGGCTGCCTCTACTCCTTGGATGACCTCGTCCCCCCACCCACCCACCCATAGAGAGGATTCTCCGTGGAGAGTGGAGGCTGACTCAGGAAGGGGTTTCTGGTGTTTCTGGGCTCTGCCTGGCCTGTGCCTAGGGATGCCGTCCCAAGCCCCTGGGGTAGCTCTGTATCCTCACCTTCCACAGACACCCAGAAAGAGGAGCACCCTGAGGAGGAAGAAGGGGCTGTCTGGGCTCTCCCAGAAGCTGCTCCGGAACTTAACCAGTGTTGGAAAGCAGGGGCTCCACCTGGGGGCCCGGGGGTGCCCATCTCCCCAGAGGAGCCTTTGTCACGTACCGGGCTCACACTTCCTCAGGAAGTACTGGTGGGACCCTTGATTCTACGTGATCGAATTCTCACCCGCTTTATCTTCCTCTTTCCAAGTTTGTGTCTCAGGGTGGGGCAGGCGGCTGCCTTCACAGGATGCCGAGTCGGCGAGGCGCCCTGTATCGCACTTGACCAAACAGGGTCTTCTCCAGAGCAGAGAGCACAGCAACTTGTCCACCCTCTAAACTGCCCTGCCTGTCTTCAGGCGGTAATGTATTTGCGGTTCTCCTTGACCAAATGTGGTCCATTTCACACCACGGACTGTGCGTCTCAGGAAGCCCCTCCCTAGAGCCCAGGTCCCCAGGGAGGGGGTGGGGCCGGGCTGAGGGTGTGACCGCATCCCCCCCACCACCACCACCACCACCAAGCCCCTACCCACAGAGGGCAGACTCTGCAAGGTCCTGGGTGAAAGTCTTGGCACTTGGAAGGTGCTTTCAGGCCCATGAAGCTCTATGGCCGTAGGGTAGTGTCAGGCTGGTATGGGTGGACTTTATCCCTGGGGAAACAGCCTAGTGCCTCTTTTGCCTCAGGAACGGCCCGCATGAGGTTAACAGCAATGCTGGCATGCATTCCTTGGCGCCCCGTGTCTCCTAAGTTCCACCAAACTGACTGAGGCCATGGAAACTGCTAATTTTAACAGTGCCAGTGACATGCCTTATCTCCAAGCTTCCCAGAGCAGGAGCCACCGCCTGGGCATATGATGAAGGAGCTGGGGACAGGGAAAAGGAAAAGGTGGGCGGACGGGCTCCTTATCAGAATGGCTGGCATTAAATGTTGACCCCCCATGGAGGCTGACAACAGGAACACCCTTGTGGGACAACCAGTTTACTGGGATCTGTTTTAGGGACAGTAATAAGTAATTTTAAAACCTTTTGGTATCAGAACAAAAGTAGATCCGTTCTGAGGGAGACTGCAATGGCGTGGCCGGCGCTGGGCCAGAGAACAGAGGTGCCGGGGTGTCTAAGCCACTGACTGGGCGCTGGGCTCAGGCTCTCATTGCCGAATGGGGAGAAGGTTGTGAAGCAGATCAGGAGCTTGCTCCCGCCTTCCTGGACAACCCCCTGCCCCTCCACCCCGTCCTCCCCCTTGACTGGCCCCCAAAGCAACAAAAAAAATCAAAACAAGCACTTCCTCGTTGCGTTTTAAAATTTTTGCTTTAGTCTTAGAGTCTTCACAATTTTTGTAGGGAACACAGGAGGGAGTTAGATGTTAAAAGGACGACAGCTTGTGTCGCGTGGCCCCTGAGGGGACACCAGACCAGCACACACATAATCCTTAAAGCGCTGAACTAAAAGCCTCCCATTTTAGAAATCTGGAACTATTGCCTTCTGTTGAAGATTCATTCAATGATGCTTCTGTGTCTGTAAGTCTGTTAACCCATTGGAAATATGTGTTTCTGCCCTTGGGTGTGTGTGTGTGTGTGTGTGTGTGTGTGTGTGTGGTCATGCCATCCTATTGTATTGGTGACCTGGTTTTAACCTGCACACTTGGTTTGGTGTTCGTACGTGTTGAAAGCATTCTAAGATGGATGCTTTGGAAAAATCTTTGGTTTTACAACAGATGGCTTTTCTCAAGGTGAGTATGAAGTTTATAAAGTGTGCACCCTGTGTAACCAAGCATGAACACAGATGAAGACTTTTGTCTCTGACGAGAGCGTTCTCTGGGGAGGGGGAGTTGAGAAGGTCTGCAGCTCCGCCTGCAATTCCACATTGTCATTGAGGAGATGGTCCCTTCATGCCCAGGGATTGGAAAGAATGTCTCATTTACGTCTGTAAGTCAGGCAGATTTGTCTCTTCTCATGCTGGGGTTTTTTGTTTTCTGGGTTTTTTTTGTTTGTGTGTGTGTGGTTTTTGGTTTTGTTTTGTTTTTAGAAGCTTGACTTTTTTTCCCTATTTTTAAAATTGTTCATTTAACACCTTGTCCCTTTTGAGGTTTTTGCCAGTAAATAGAATAAGAGAATTCACTGGTGTCCCAGTGCTTGGTTTCTTTAGAATCACTGCCACCTTCCCAGGGGGGGGAAATGGTGGTCCTGGGCAGTGGGCTCACTTCTTCACCTGCAGGACCCGCCAGATGCCAGGCATACCTGTGGTAAGGCCCCCAAGATGTGGTTCAGACCCCCAAGAAGAGACTGGTAGAGGTGAAGGTCTGAGTTCTGGTCCTCCCAGTGTCACTCACCAACTCTGGGACTTCACTTTGTAGCCCTGAGCTTTGGTCTCCTGGTCCCTCAAGGAGCGATGGCCCTGCTGTGCAGCCCTCCCCATTGGGGAGCTGGCTTTATCTCAGCTAATGAACGTAGAAGTAAAGAAGTAAAGGATTATACTCAGTAAATGCATCTTCATCCTAAATTCACGGACCTCCTCCCTGTCCCCTCTCTGGGTGAAGTGGGGACGGACACAGGGACTCTTTGGAAATCAAAGTGTGCCATTTTCTGGATTTCCCAAGAAGTGACCACAGGAACCGAGCTTTGTTTACACATGAGTCCTGTACTCTGTGCCCCCAAGAGGAGGCCGTGGAAGTTCGTTGTCAGCCACAAAGCCTCTTGTAGCTCTAAATTGTCGTGACTCAGGTTCTCTCTGACGGTGATTTTTTGCACAATGTAGGGGAAAGGCCTTTCTGTAGTGTTGTGGTTAATCATACCAGGTTTAGAGTTGGAGAGCCAAGACGTGATTCTGCTTGAGCCTCAGTTTCTTCATCTGTGCAATGGAGCTGGTCACACCCACTGCGTGGGTTGCGTGAGGATTCGGTGCATGTGAGCAGAGCGTGCTTCCTCTTTGGCACTTTGGTGGCTTGCGTGAGAGAAGAGAAAACGTGATTTGATGCAAGAAAAAATCGAATCAACTCAGTCCTTTTAAACTAATAATAATGGGCCAAGATCGGCCTACATTAGTGGAAAGTCAAAGTTATATAATATTTTTAAATGTTTTGTTGCGTCCACACGTGTATATATAATGACATAAGCCAATGATTACTGAAGGATATTGTTACATAAACCACCTCCTGGGCCTGCTTTAAAGGATAGATTAAAATCATTTGTAACTCGCCTATGAATTCGGAGCTTTGGTTTTGCCAGCATCTTAGGGAAAATATTTGAAACACTTTCTTAAGCAGGCTTTGCATGTTAGAAGAGAAGTGTTTCTTTGTAAAGCAGATTTTGTGACCTAAGACTGAATGTGAACCCAGCCCTAGTCTCTCGGTTCGAAGTCCTTCATCTCTAAATGGTGTTCTTTGTGTCCCAATGAGTTCCAATTTACCAGATCACAGCTATCTTTTTAAATCGTTGTTCCAATCGTGTGTTACCGAAGGCCCGTTTATCTTAACGTCAGAAGTTTTGAAGGAACATGGAGGAGGTGTGGCATTATTAAAAAGAAAAGGCCATTTTCAAACCAGGGAATGATTCTGAGTTTCACCGTTGGGGTCTTTCTATACCCCCCGCTCTAGTTGCACCAAATCCCAGGGCCTCATGAAGACTCAGGCATGGCTCTTTGACCAGGCAGCTGTGGGCACGGAGGGAATGGGGACAGAGGGAGGTGGTAGCCATGGGACTCTGGACTGCGTGATTTTGGGATTTTCCAGAGCAGGATCTGGTTTGGGGCCTCATCGTTTGCACCCTGGTCCATTTAAATCCCCACCATCCTGAGCCACGGGAGGTCGGAGATGGTCTCTGACTTCTTCTCCTTGAATATTGACCCAGGAGGCAAAACATAGCAGGTAGATGGTCATTGTATCACTTGTGAATGTTTTCTAAGTGGAGACATAACCTCTGGGAAGAGGCATTCTTATAAATTATTCATGACTGGAATTAGCTTTTGCTCTCATTCAACACTTTACCGGCATCTGCTGATTGAAAACGAACACCAGAATTTCCTCGTATACATAAGTGCTCTGACGTAACTGCGTCTTAGAAGAGTCGTTGAATTGCTTACAGCATTTGAAAATGGGTGTTGTTAGGCGATGGGATAGTCAGGCT